GCGCGGCGCCTCGCTCGCCGGCGGCAGGCACGTGTCGGAGTCGCAGCGCGTCAGGTCTCTGCGGTGGGCAAGGGCGGAGAGCGTTAGAGGGCAGGGCGGGCGCGGGGAGGCCGCGGCGCGACGGGGCGATGCCCCCCGGGCACGGGGATCCCCCCGCGGGCACCGCCGGATCCGCTCCGCACCCCGGATCCGCTCCTTCCCAGCCCAAAACCGGTTCCTTCCCCAGTCTCCGAATCCCGCTGGGAGCCGCGTCCTGTGCGGGAGCAGCAGGAGCCCGTCTGGCCTCCGGAGGCCGAGGCCGGGGCCTCCCGCGGGGTTTGTGCTGCTGCTCGCGGCGGTGCCAGGGCGCGGGATTCACCGGGCGGTTGCGAGCGCTGCCCCCCGTGCCCCACGCGGTGCCCACGGGGGGAAGGCAGCGGGCAGAGGGAGGCCGCGGGCGCACGGGCTCCGAGCGCGGGCCGGCTCCGGCACGGCCGCAGCTCCCGCCGCGCTCCAGAGGCAGGAAAGGGGGGAAATCAGGAGTGAGGCCATGCAGGGCACAGGGAGACAAGTGTCCGCGGCAGCCTCCCCACCGGAGCAGGAAGGGCGGCATTCCCGATGGAGAGCAGGGCCCTGCATGGGATCCCAAAGCACTGGGGAGTGGGAAGGGCGGCATTCCCGATGGAGAGCAGGGCCCTGCGTGGGATCCCAGAGCACCCGGGAAGGGCGGCATTCCCGATGGAGAGCAGGGCCCTGCATGGGATCCTGGAGTACCCAGGAAGGGCGGCATTCCCGATGGAGAGCAGGGCCCTGAGTGGGATCCCGGTGCGTGGGCAGTGGGAAGGGCAGCATTCCCGATAGAGAGCAGGGCCCTGTGCGGGATCCCGGAGCACCTGGGAAGGGCGGCATTCCTGATGGAGAGCAGGGCCCTGTGCGGGATCCCGGAGCACCCGGGAAGGGCAGCATTCCCAATGGAGAGCAGGGCCCTGCGCAGGATCCCGGAGCACCCGGGAAGCGGGGTGACATTCCCGATGGAAAGCAGGGCCCTGCGTGGGATCCCAGAGCACCCTGGCAGCGGGAAGGGTGGCATTCCCGATGGAGAGCAGGGCCCTGCGTGGGATCCTGGAGCACCCTGGCAGCGGGAAGGGCGGCATTCCCGATGGAGAGCAGGGCCCTGCGTGGGATCCCGGAGTGCCCGGGAAGGGCAGCATTCCCGATGGAGAGCAGGGCCCTGCACGGGATCCTGGAGTGCCCGGGAAGGGCAGCATTCCCAAGGGAGAGCAGGGCCCTGCACGGGATCCCGGAGCACCCTGGCAGTGGGAAGGGCGGCATTCCGGATGGAGAGCAGGGCCCTGCGCGGGATCCCAGTGCCCAGCCCACCACAGGCTTCCATAGGGCAGCCAGGGCAGCCGGATGAACCGCAGCCAAACACCCGTGAGGCCGACGGGCTCCAGCACGAGCCTCCTCGGAGGCAGCTCCGGAGGGCGGGAAGCGGCTCCGGAGGGCGGGAACGCGGCGGAGACACAGCTGCCATCGCCGACCCCGGCTCCTTCCCTCTCGCAACACCAGGAATTCCTTCTTCCCCCCGGCCAGTTCCCCACCGATGAGATTCCTGGCATTCCCGCGACCTCTCCAGAAGGGGCTCCGTGCCACTCGCTCCCGCCGTTCATTCCCGCAATAAAGAGCTGGGAAGTTCCCGCTTCCCAAGGCCAGGAGCACGAGGCCGGTTCCGCTCCTGCTGCCGGGGCCAGCCCAGGCCGAGCGGCTCCCGAAGCGGAGGGGAGCGGAGGGGAACTCGGCTCCCTCTCCCACTGCTCCCGCTCCGAGCCGGGGTTAGCGCAGCCCACGGAGAGGGCGACACCGGGAATCACCCCCTGGAACGGGGGGATCCCGCCCGGACCGCACGCTGGGGATCCCATCTCCTCTCCCACCGCGTGATCCCGTGGGAGGAAGGAGTGAGGAGATCCCTGCGGCGATGGGAAGCAGAGCCTGGGGACACACAATGTGTCCCCTGTCCCAGCGCCGCTCCGCTCCTTGGGACCCTCCTCGCAGCAACGGGACCCTCCTCTACCTCAGAGCCACCAGGGGACACCCGCGTAGGGTCCCTCTTGGTCACGGCTGCGTCACCGGGAGCAGGGGACACCCACGTAGGGTCCC